TTTATTAATAAGTATATTGGTTTTCTAGAAAGTAAATATAAAGAATTATTGCCAAAATTTTTACGATCGTTTTCAAACTTTGATCTATCACCATTTACGAATGGGTTGATTTCTTTCTTCTTTTCCGATCGATTGCGGAGAAAAATAAGGTCAGTAATGCTCAGGTGGAGTTGAGTGGTAGGGAGCCTTCTCTTTTTATTTTCGCTTGCATCATATGAGGATAAGAAAAAAGTTTAAGTCAACACATCATTACAACAGCAACAGAGAAACGTACAAGATCAATTGAAGAAATGATTAATGAAGGTGATATGATAAAAATTTTAAATCGATTCTTTTTCTTTGTGTCGCTGGACTAGAGTCTTGCTTATAAGAAAAACTTAATAAGTTGAACGAAACTTAAGTTTTTGCAGTTTTTTTTTTTATTAATTGAAGCTCAGGTGATGAGGTTTGCACAACGGAAGACAAATTTTAACAAGTAATGAATGGGATAAAGAATGTTAAATTTGAAATCAGATTATCATTCGGTTAGGATAAATATTTTTTAAAAGTTTAGACTTTTGTTAGAAAGCAAATCTCGTGAGTAGTCAACAAAGTGTATCTTCCTGTTAGATAAGACAACAATTTATCTTTACCGCTTGGCTCAGATTTAAAAATAAAGTCGACAACTTATCTATGAAATTTTGGAGCAAGAATGCAAAGTACTGAGGCTTCAGGACTTCTAGAATATTTCGCAATGACCTCCCTTAAAATATGTTTTTAGAAGCCCTGTCAAACATGAAGACAAAAAAAAAAAGGCATACACATTAAGGGACGCATATTTAAGGTATTTAAGTGAGGAAAACTTTATTTAACTTATCAAATCACTAGTGAGTAAGGCGGTATGGAAAACAATCAGTTTGATTGCTTGGTGAATCTTGTAAGTAATTATTATAATCGCCTTTCAATACTTCTCAGTTTTCACCGGTAGTTAACCAGATTTTGATGTACTCAATCTCGCATTCCTCAATAATTATTTGATAGATTTCGAGAGTTTAATATTTAAATGTTCCTTCTATATGTACTTTGTTCCAGATCCTTGCGGATATGTTGACAGATTTTCATTCTTTAAAGTGTGATGGCGAAATCCCAAGGAAATATCTTAAAATTAACAAAGAAATCTCTCTTCGCAAAATAATTAACTGTTAATGACGTTGAGTATGCTTATTTTTAACCCAAGTCCACACTTATTCTGAAGAAATATTTCTTTTTTCGTCAAATTCGAAATTATTACCACCAAAATAAGATTTAGTTTAAAAAGAGTTTTAAAAGAGCTGGTTCGTATAGTTCACCCGCTTTAACGGTTTAGTTACTCCAACTTTATTTTAATGTGTCAAGTTCCCCATCATATCTTTTAAATGATTGATTGTATTAGAATAATTCTTTCACAAAAAGTTATAAGTCCTAGGTAAATGGTAAAGATATGGTAAAAATATGGTAAAGAAGAGCAAACGAAAATTTGCAGATTTTCGGTTGATGTTGCCAATTTTTTGAAAAGCTCCAAGCAGATTAACTTTCACAAAGTGGCGTATCACAAAAGCCTTTGAATTATTGAGAAGTAGTGATGGAAAAACAACAACATATTAATCGAATTTACTAAAACAAGAACCATACATTAAAAGACAAACGCTCGAAAGCATTTATCCTCTGTCCGGAGCAAGCTGGATGAGAATTTCGATGAACTAAATAATTTCATTTATTAGTTAAATACGATTTTTTTTAATTGTTAAATCTAAATCTATATTTCAATGCCATTTGATTGATAAAAAAGTGATTAAAAATAATTTTAAAAATTAATTATTGAATTTTATTGAACTGGCATCACATTTTGAGATTGTATCGCCAAATTTCGGCACTTCATATTATGCGTCATTCGAATTAGATTATAAACGAAAGAGTTAATCCTTTCTTCAATATATTACTTATAAAAATAAAAAAGCGTTCATTTTTTAGAGAATTTTCAAAATTAAAAACTGCTAGACAGTTATCCATTCTTATTAAATTTTAATTCTATTTCAAAATATTCTTCCAATCGCCTTCGTTACTGATCTAGTCGAAGATTCATTCATACATTTTTTATACCAGCAATAGTGCTACCGCTTTTGAATTTTACAAGAATTAGTTTCCTGAACCTTAGATTAGGTAATATTGATAAAAGGCGCATTTTCATTCATAGCATAAAATTCTTATTGATTCGAAATTTGCTGTTTTTACTGTTTCTAACTAATTAATAAAACTTAAAGAATGATGAACGTAAATTATTGTTAATTTTAATAGTCTTGATCATTATTAATGCACTAGTTTACGAATAAATCAGTCCGCAATTTTTTTTTAGCAAAAGTGTTAAGTGTGATTTCCATCTTTTAAAGCATATTTCTTCCAAAGTAAAGAGAAAAAAATCCAAGCATTATTCAATTTGTACAATAATTGCTTCGTACTTTTAATTTGTACGATTTTAATGAATAAAAAATGATCTCAAGAACAGAATATTGAGCTAACTCAGATCTTCAGAAAAAAAAATTATAAATCATTTTCCCCTTGTTTTTAATTGAGGAAAGATAATCTTTCTACCACTTCAAAAAGTGTTTTATAAATCTAGGATCAGATTTACTTCACAGAAAGAAATAATAAATATACGCAATGAATAACTGAGAAAATTTTGCTAGCACTTTAATTTATAAATTCGGGCTCACATTCATTTCATTGTACTTATCAGTACGTATTGAATAGCTTAAAAGCAGCACGCTTCCCGAATAATACACCTTATGTAAATCTGTTTCTACCGACGACAAAAATTGGCAACATTCCATTTTTATGCCAAATGTCCATCTATTATTTTATACACCCCTTTTTAGTTTACTCAATTTTATGAAATTTGTTTTCAGGGGTTATTTTTGCAAGCTAAGCTAAATCGAATACAAAAAAATATAAATTAATATGCTCATTCAGAAAAAGTGCTCTTTGTCAAAATAAACATATTGCACCACATAACAGTTACACATAGTTTAAAAGATTTTTTTGAGATATTGCTATAACATTTAGATAGAGATTAAAACTCCAACGAACCACTCAAAATTTAAAAAATAAATAATTTTTTCTTTTGATGAATATACACAAACTCGTATTTTAATTAAACTTGTACATTCAGACAAAAAATAGATTAAACTAAAGTAATTATTTTTAAAAACAATCTCTAGGTTTTCGAACAAAAATATTTTCTGATTTGAAATCCCCACATCCGAATTAGGTATGATCCATGTTTGTATAAATGCATCCAGTGTTATCATTTGGTGAAGATTCTAAATATTCGAAATATTAAGATTAATACTTTCAGCTACTTTCATTTTTTCCATTTCATTTTTTAATACTTTCATTAATACTTCTTTCAAAATTAAATAATTTGAGTTGACAATAGCAACCACTGTCATTTTACAACTTTTTCTTACATGACGATTGTAAGTTTTATTGCGTATCAGTATTCGTATTAACTTAAAATCCTGATTTTAATTTCACTTTAAGTTTGAATATTTCTGAAAATTAGCTTTTACGAATTAAAATTTCAAATTCCCATACGAATTAAAATTTAGCATCTAAGCAGCAACTAACTCATTGGTGATGCAAATCATAGATGTTATGTAGGAGATACTTTCACCTTCACTTTTTTACCAACCTTTGGATTTGTGTATATATTTACCTAGAGACAACAATGAAAAAAATTTATATAAATTATTTTATATTAATAAATTAAGAAAAGTCATTATATAAAGAGTGGTGATGCACCGATTTAAGCTTGATTTTCCTGAGTTCCTATCCCGTAGGGCTATTTACTCATTCATCTAAATTGTTTATAGAATGAGGTAAGAATAAAGGTTAGATAATTTTGCAAGAGCGTAAAAATAAAAATAGATACATGATTGAATGATGCTCAAGAGAAGAAAAAAATATATAATACAAAGTGCAATAAATCACAGTCTGGGACAAATAAAAATAAACACGAAAATTATTTACAAGGGATAAAATATTTACATATGTACATCGAGAATTGAGATTACCTAACAGGCACGAAAGGAAGCTTGGGAGAAATATGCTTCCCTTGAATCCCTGCATCACTCCCACGTCTCATCCCCCCCCCGAAGGGTGATGCAGTTCATTTTGAGAAATTAAGAGTGAGGAAGTGGTGATACGCAGGGCTGAAAGTCCTTATATATCAAGACGTAAAGAATAAAAACTGTAATAAAATATCTATAACTACCAAATTTTTTTAACGGACACAATTTATATTTTTAATTGCTTCTTCCCCGAAAATAAAATAGTAGCAGAGAATTGTTTATTCTTAAGAATAGAGTTACTCCTCCCGAAAATTATCTATTACTGAAATAGTTCCTACTAGTGTTTTCTCTTTTTCCGTCTGGCTTTCAGGTCTGTTGATACATTAATTTTTAAATCAAATGGGCATTTTCTCTTATATTACCTAACCATCTGCAGCCTTCATAACAAAACCAACTTCAAATTTTAAATCCACACCCTCGAATAAAGTAAGATCAAGTACTTTTATAAATGCAACAGAACAAAAAAAAAATTTCCCTTGCGTAGTTAGTTTGAGCTTATTTAAATTTTCAAACAAGACTTGGATCTACTTGAATTTTATTAAACTCTAAAAAAGCAATATAAAAATAATGGTTATAAAGTTTTAACCAATATCGAGCTTTTTAATTCTTTTTTATTCTGAAATCATAATACTCAGAAAAGAGAAATGTTCCATATTGACGATTGGTTTAGAAAACTACAATGATTCAATTTAAAATACTTACGGGAAAAAAAAAGCCAAGGTCTACGATGCAAACGTGATTAGAAAGATAAATATAGTCTTCACTTTAGGATATAACAGAATATAACCTGTTTTAATACACCTGCACGTGATTTTTCTCGTAATCTACCGATAGCGCTTTCTTTGAGAAATTCTGACTGCTCATCTAAACGGCTATACAAATAAACAGCAACAATAATTGAGAATTTTGTTAGGTTTATCTTTTCAACTGTGTATTTTTTAGTAAGATCTTTGTTCTGTCTTACGTTTTCAATTGCCTGCCCTTTTCAATAGTAATTGATTCAACTGTTTCGGTCCTTTGAAATAGTATTAAGGATTAATTATTGGTTGACATTTATTGCCGCCTTTATTTACCTGACGTCACTATCGCCGGATTCAAGTAAGTTTTCTTTATATTTTACAATCCTTATTTCATTATGCACGCTCAGCAATTATTCTATGCATTCTGACATAAGTGAAGAGCTGAGTTGTCAGAGGTATTTTTATTAATCCGGAGAACCAACACAAGCCGGTCGCATCGATATGGATACGTTTAATGTAACAGAATTGCTTTTATTTTAATTTTAATATTACTAATCCACATTTGTTTTGAGTCTGCTTGCCTGATTTCTATTTTAAAAGATGTAGTGGTCGAATAATTAAGGCATAGAATGTAAGCCCACCTTCTAACATATCAATAAACAAATAGTTTAGATCAAGGGTTTCAAACTTACACGAGGCCGGGGGCCGCAATTAAAAACACAAGTCAAATGGCGGGCAGCAACTTTATCAAAATTTTATATAGGACTTTTTTATGTTTGAAGGAACAATAAATATTACTGTCAGATTTTTATCAAGTTGTTCAAAACAGAAGTATTAAATTGCAAATTAAAATAAGTAGATTATTAAAAATATTTAATTGCATATTGAAATATTCTGGCTACAATAACTTTAATGTGCACCTATGTATTAAACAATTAATGTGAAACAGATATCAAATAGTTAAAATATAAAACCCACATAGATTTTTTACGAAAACTGTCTGCAAAAAAAAGAACTAATATATTTTAGTTCGCGGGTCACAAAAAAAGGCTTTTTCGGGCCGGATGCGGCCCGCAAGTTGGTAACCACTGGTTTATACACCCCTTCCTGGATATACAGCCATTATGAAAATTTCACACGCTTTAATCACTTGGTTATTTAATTTATATAACCATTGGCTATATAAATTAAATTGAACAAATATTGAAACGTTATACGATTTAAATTGAACAAATGTTGACTACAAATATTGAAATAATTGATAAATTGCATTTACGATAAAAACTGGTATGGGCATTGTGAGACGCGTGAAGCTAGACATCTAGTCTTAAAGAAGACATCTCGATCAGCCTTTCATATACTTGATCATTTTCAAGTTATATACGAAGGTCCGTTTGTTCCAGTTATTAAGTATAAAAAAGTGTTGACAACAAGTAAGTTTAAAATTATGAAGTATCAAGTTCATAAATAAATAAAAAATCTCAATAATATATTTTATTCGGTCTCTTTGTTCGAACGTTTAGTATTTATAACTTCGCTAATTTTTGACCATCTTTTGTCATCTTAAATCTAAGACTCAGGACGGACTTGAGTACCAAAAATAAAAAAAATAAAAAACTCAAGTTCAAACGGGCTTGGACATCAAAACATTTGCCTGAAATCATCTCTAATGAAGGGCCTGTTCATATACTATTGATGTGTTTTAAATTCAAATCAAAGTGTAAAGATTTACATTATTGATAAATAAAGACACGCTTATCTTATTTTCACAAAAAAAAAACATGCTAGTAATGGAGCATTTGTATTACCAAGTTTTTAATAAAAAAATTAAATTGTTCAAGAGATTAAACATCCGCTAATCGGTATTTTCAACTACTTTCTCTATTCTCAACTTGTATCAAATATAATTACAGCATTATGCCTTTATTATATATGAATCTGGCACAGTTCCTTTGTCTCTTGCTGATTTTGATGGATTGCGCCAGTATGCCACTTGCTTTTATGACACTGGAATTATGAAACTGAACTTCGTGAACTAATACAGTGTAACAAATTTATGTGAATTCTGATCGGGCAAATATACTTAATATGTTACTCGCAACATTTTTGTAACCGTGGCTGGGTGGCGCAGTTGGTTTGTCGTCTGCCCTCTGAGCCCAAGTCTGCGGGTTCGATCCCCGGCCCAGACACTGGATTTTCGGGATGCAGAAAATCCTCAGCGGCCATGTCGTATGATTATGCGGCATGTGAAAGATCCATGGAGTGCCTTATTGGCTCTTGGCATTTCCGGCAAAATTAAATTCCTAGTGCACTTTAGCTTCCAAATAGAGTCTCGGTGCTGACATCTTGTGTGGCAGAAACTAGACGTCCAAATTAACATGGCCAACGGTATCTCACCCATTGTGATGGTCCTGAAAGAGTGGATACCACTTCTAGAGAACGCACTAGGTCTGCTCATCGGGAAGACTGATTGTGCAGCTCATTGGAAATAAAATAAAATAAACCTTTTTGTAACCAGATCAAATTGCTAAACGCATGACCTTGTACTAAAAAAATTTATTTAAATTACGTTTCATATTTGCTTCGATTCAGAAAAACTGAAATGACCGATGAAATTAGTAAGTATAAATCGGATCGGAGTCAAGCTCTCTGGAAAGTCTGGAGTCGGATTCGAACATTTCAAATACCGATTCCACAGCTCTGATCAATAATTCGGAATCGTGCACAATACTGTTACATACATACTGACAAAAATAAAAAAGCTAAAATGTTCTCATTTCCTTTCATATAGTTCCCTTGCCTATGGCATTACGTTGATAGATTAAACATAAGTTTATAAACACAACAAGTTTATAAGGGACTTATAAGCTTATTTACTTACATATGGACTTGTCTGCTCCTTTGAAAATAACACTTAAGGCAAAAAACACATGACCTTAATGTGTTGCATCAGAAACTGAATTGTATTATCGCTTTTCACCTACCACTCCCTAAGTAGCTGAGAAGTGGGGATACTCAGTATTTACTGCAGTGACTTTTAAAGAAATCCTACTTAGGAATACATTATTAAATTGCGAAAAAGCTGTAGCTTGTAGACATAGAAGCCAAATGCAGTTTTGAAATCATCGAAGCAAATTGTCTAAGATCCATTCAAAAATTTCTAGCATTAAAAGGGAAAAAAATTTGTCCTCCAGAGTAATTATTATTTAAATAGCATAAATATGTAATAAAATAAAATTAGGAAATCACTTTTAGATTTTTTGGGTCTTATCAGCGATCATATTTTAATATATTTTGTAAGTTTTCCAATGTCCCTGAGAAATGAACTGGTATACTTTGTCTAAGGTAAGAACTCCCCTCGCTACAAGGTCTGAGGCAGTCTGCTGCTATGGAAACAAGAATGGCGCATTTCAGAGAGGGTAGCTTCTCTTCACTCTAGGGCTAACATAGTAGACCGAAGAAAAAGATTCCCTTTCTCTCGCCGACCTGAGCAAAAACCTGTCCAAAACAGTGACCCCACACCCCTACTTGAAATAGTTATACCTCGTTACCACAGTTACCGAGTTCAGACGAATGGCTAGGGAAGTTCTTCTTTTAGACAGACTATAGAAAAGTATCTAAAGGATTATTCACAAACTCAGTGCTAAGGGTTAATGAGTAAAAGTTTATTTATAGTTTAATGTTCATGGGTGATTCTTTGGAAACATGACAATTCGGACCAAAAAATTTCTTCAAATTTAAAGTCTTCAAGAGAATCAAAAAAATTTTTGAATACTTATTTAGTTACATTTATTAACATCTCATAGACATCAGTGTAGTTTATTACCATTTGCTGAAGAAGAAAAAATAGAAATTCACTAAATCTTGAATGCAAGGAAAATGACATATTAGCTTAGAAGTTTAAAAAACAGTCATTTTAAGCTAATAGTAAGTAACTCAACTTCAACCTTTATGTTAGATGGACCATAAATTGCCTAAATTAATCCACTGTGGAAAGAATCAAAAATGTTTTTGCTGCTGATATGTACGGAATAAAATTGTGCATAATAATCAATCATTAAATAAATAAATAACTTTGATTACATTCAAGCATATTACAATCATACATAAACTTGGCTTTAGGTTAATATTTGCTTTCCCTCTTTACATTATACTGTTTAAAAAAATTTCTGGTAACACATCAATGTCCTGGCATTCATAAGCCAGGATAATGACAAACTTGCCATTTTATAGCACATAACTTTACTTTAACATTTCGGCCTAAGACGTTTACATTCAGCAGAAAACAACAGGATTTCTTGAAATAACTTGGATAAATCTATGCAGTTTATTTTATTAATTATTTCAAGAAAACAGGAAAATGACAACATAAAAACCTACTCACCTTGAAAAAATTTTTTGAATTAGATTTTGAGCCAGAAAATTGGTTCTTTATTCATGCAACAAGACATTTTCAGATAGGAGGGTATCTACTTAATCTATTAACATAAGATAGTGATTGCTGGCGCTATCTATTTTGGTTATAAATCACTAAATAAAAGTAGCCAGGAAAATGACAGATTTTCATATGACAAACAAATTATTTTAAATGAGTTTTTGTAAATAATACCTTCTGCTTATATTCTAGAAATGCTTACAACGGTTGAGATAAAAAAAATTAGATATTGAAAAATTTATGCGAAGTTTTGAAGCTAGTTATTATTGGAAATATTGTTTGTGACATACCAGAAACATGACATTTTGAAATTCAATTAAATTTTATAAATATAACAAACAGTCGATGCTAGCACAAGGTCAATTTAAAATGCTAATATCAATGCTATTTATTAAAATTTTTTAAAAAACGTTCTTTTTTTAGTATATTATTAGAGCTTGAGGCAAGAGACTGTAAATTGTCATATTTCGTGAGAATCACCCTTATACATAATGTTCCCCGATACGATGATTTTGATTTTTCGACAAATCCCTGGCTCCGTACTTGCCGTACAATCACGGAATCACACCGTGTAAGATAATTGCTAAGTTCATGATTGCCTTATGATTACATAAAAAAAAGAAAAAGAAACCTATAATTAAAAATATAGTTAGTTCTTTTAGCTAGAACCATAATTATAGCAAAGAATTTACTATGTTACTTTACTTTTTGACTTAAATTACCTTTGTCCTGAGAATGGAGTTAAACAAAAGCATTCCAAAATTGTTTTAAACTCTCCAAAGATTAATTAAGATTTCCTTTGTGTCTTTCAAGTGCTCAGACTTCTGTCTACAAGTATGTAAACCACTGACAGCAAGATAAATTGTGGGTATCGCGGCAACAGTGTTTGGTTTTAATGGAGGGCCATTTTACAATGTGAATAG